CTTGCCGCCCTTTCGCCAGTCGGGCTGGGAGGCCGCAGAGCCCCTGCCGGCCGGCCAGGGGCCCCCCTGGGATGCTCTGGCCTCCTGGCCGCGAGCGAGCCGGCTGTGCTCGGGGGCCCTCCTGGCCTCGGGGCCCTCCTCGGCCCTGTCCTCTTCCAGGGAGTCGGTGGAGGAGGCGGAGAGCTGCTTCTGTGGGCGGGGCCTTTCCGGGGGCTTCCTCCCCACCTCCGCCTCCCCACGGGCCCCCTCGGTGCTGTTGTTGCTGCCAGCCGAGCTGGTGCTGCAGGTGCGGTAGCGGCTGCGACGCTTGTCCGAGCGCGAGTACCGCTTGGGGGGGCTGCCCTTGCCGTGGCCCGGCTCGTCTCGGGCCTTCCGGGGCCGCTCGGCCCGCCTGCCCTTCTCCCCCCGGAAAGGCCTGGCCCCTTCCTGGTTGGGCCCTCCTTCTGGGCCCCCTGGCTTCCCGGGGCCCTGGCCAGCCCTCCCGGCGTCCTTCTCGCTGTCTGCTCCCCTCTCCTCCTTTGGGGGGAGCTCCTCGTTTGCCTGGGGGGCAGCCCCCACCTCCCGGGGCGAGGCCTGCAGGCGTTTGCCAGGCTGGTAGATCTGCTGGTCGGGCTTCTTGGCTCGCCTGACGATGCGAGGGCACCAGTCCTGCGGGGGGCCCCCGGGTCCCAGGGGAGGACCTTCCAGGAAGCCGTTGGGGGGCTGGGCCTTGTCCTCAGGGGGGGCCTGGGGGAGTGGGGTGTCCTCCCTGCAGGGAGCTGCCGCGGGCTTCCCGGGGCCCAGGCCCTCCTCCGTGGCTTCTTCCTCTCTCGGGAGCTCCTGCTTGGCCGGGCCAGGCTTGCCCCTCAAGCGGGAGAGGCCCGGCTTGTAAATCTCGAGATCCGGACGCCGGTTGTCTTTACGATGCCGGGGCTCCTTCATGGTCTCTGCAAGAAGCACAAGAGGACCGTCAGCCCCATAGCTGGTGGGGGGGTAAGCTAGTGGGGGGCTCACCAGGCATGGTGGGGCAGCAGACCGACTTATGCAACTGAACTGGGAGTGACATCTCTGTCGTTAAGCAAAGCTGTCACTCAGTGGGAAGCCATTTCCTTTCCCCCATTCCCTCTCCCTAGCCCAGGGGTAGGCAACCTTGGCTCTTTTATGACTCGTGGACTTCAATTCCTGAGCCAGCATGGGGGAACTATGGCCCCTTCATGACTCGTGGACTTCAACTCCCAGAATTCCTGAGCCAGCATGGGGGAACTATGGCCCCCTTCATGACTCGTGGACTTCAACTCCCAGAATTCCTGAGCCAGCATGGGGGAACTATGGCCCCTTCATGACTCGTGGACTTCAACTCCCAGAATTCCTCAGCCAGCATGGGGGAACTATGGCCCCTTCATGACTGGTGGACTTCAACTCCCAGAATTCCTGAGCCAGCATGGCTCAGCTTGGAAACCTCTCCCTTTCCCCTCAGCATGGCTGGCTCAGGAATTCTGGGAGTTGACGTCCACCAGTCATAAAAGAGCCAGGGTTGCCCACCCCTGCCCTAGCCGTAGCCACTGGGATAGTTAGCAAGAAGAGAGTTGAAGTTTGCACCTACATTCGCTGGAGAGAAAGGGATCGCAAGAGAGTCAGCAGGCAGAGAGTGGGGAGGGAAAAGGTTTGGTGTGCCACTGCATTCCTTTCTCTGGGTATTCCCCACTGTCCGCCTGCTGACTCTCTTGCGATCCCTTCCTCTCCAATCTCTACACTCTGCAAAGGTGGGAAGAAAGATAAACCACAGGACGGGCACAGGATTGTAAGTGGCGATCTCGTGACTAAGGAACGTTGCAAAGTTATAAAGGTGAGCAAGGGTCATAAAGTGTTTTTTTCCCAGCACTGTCATAACTTTGAACAGTTGCTGAATGAGGCAGTCAGTAAATGAGGTTTACTTCTAATGGCGTTTGAAAGACTGAAGAGATGACATGGCTTTGTTAATACAAAAAGGTAGGAAAGATGCAGCCATAAAAATTACCTTTTTAAAAAAGTAATAAATGTTTTAAAAGGAAACAACCAACCAGAAAATCAAAGATAAACCAGACATAAAAGTTATGAAGAAATAAAAAGACCACTTTTGCATTTAACTAAACACCTTTTTTTTGGGGGGGGGGGTGTCTCTGTGGCTGTGTTTCTGAATACAGCTGAAGCTAATAACCAAATCTTTGTGGAGATTCTCAGTCATCCAGGTCATAGTTACCCCAAAGGTGCTTTTTCAAGAGGCAACTGGACTTTCTTGATTTTCTTTGAAGACGTTTTGCTTTTCATCCCAGAAGCTTCTTCAGCTCTTCAGCAGAGCTGAATAAAGTCCGGCTGCCTCGTGAAAAAGCATCCTTGGGATGACTAATAACCGACTGTCATTGCAGATTCTGTCTCACCAGGGAGGGCCTGCTGAAAGTCTATCTTTTTTAAAAACAAAACATTTATATATATATCTCCAAAGTTAAAATACAAAATTTGGAAAGGAAAAGAAAGAAAAAAAAACAAGCAAACAAACATCAAACTGTCATTAAAAATTAAAAAAAAAACATTTATAAAAAAAATAAGATTTCTTGACAGTTAGAACAACTAACCAGTGGAACCACCTGCCTCCAGAAGTTATGAATGCTCCAACACTGGAAGTTTTTAAGAAGAGCCTGGACAGCCATTTGTCCGAAATAGTGTAGGGCAGTGGTGGTGAACCTATGGCACGCATGCCAGAGGCGGCACTCAGAGCCCTCTCTGTGGGCACGCACACCATGCGCTGGAGATGGCAACCGTCCCTCTTCAACCAACCAACTGCCTAACTCGCCGAGATCCCACGGATCCATCCCAGCATGGCTGGTTCCCCTCCCCCCCCCCGTCCCATCCCTCCTGGCCTCGCATGCTCTCCTTTTCCCGGGCACGACCCACTGCATCGCCTCCTCAGCTGTCGGATGGACGTCCAGCTCAGAGGCGGCTTCTCTGAACTGCTGGTGGTGGGCTGCGGAGCCCCAGAGTGCGCCGGTTGAGGGGCCGGCAGGCTGTGGCTGCTGACGGACACTGTCAGCCCCCATGCGCTCGCTGGCCTCTGTGTGTGGGGGCCGATGGTGTCAGGCAGCAGTTGCCCTGGCCCCTGCCTCGCCTTGCCCTGCGACAATGGACCCCCACCCTGCCTCGCCTTGCCTCGCCCCGCAGGACGAGCCTCCTGCCCACCGCCCCACCTGCCAGAGACCCCCTGGATCTCCCTCAATCTTGCCCGGCCCCCACAGGTGTCCCTCCCCACGAGCAACATCGAGGTGACCATGCCCACCTTGGCATTACCACAGCCACGCCCACCCAGTGGGCCACGCCCACCTGGCACCCGGAGATAAATAAGTGGGTTTTGGGTTGCAGTTTGGGCACTCGGTCTCTAAAAGGTTCGCCATCACTGGTGTAGGGTTTCCTGCCTGAGCAGGGGGCTGGACTAGAAGACCTCCAAGGTCCCTTCCAACTCTATTTTTTATTATTATTATTATTATTATTATTATTATTATTATTATTATTATTATTATTATTATTATTATTGTTGTTGTTGTTGTTGTTTTGTTGTTGTTGTTGTTGTTGTTGTTTTGTTGTTGTTTTGTTGTTGTTGTTGTTGTATGACAGATACATCATTAACACTAAGATTAAATATAAAAGTCCCCATTTTGGGGTCCAGCAAGAGAGCCTGTGTGGCCTTCCCTGCTTTGGCACGTCCCCCTCCCCCAAAGGGAAGAGGACCCTCCCTCCTGAGCCCTCCATAAAGGCTTGGCGGCTAGAGACCCCACACTTGGTTTCAGTGGCCACCAGGTCACCCGGTTTTGGACCGGAGCACAAAGCCATTAATCCCTTTCTCCCTCCCTCCCTCCAGACCCCCCCCTGGAGCCCTCCTCCCCCTTTAGCGGCAGGGTGGCTTCTTCCCAGAGCCAGGACGGACCTCCGTCTTGGATTTCTCCTCCTCCTCCTCCTCTTCCTCCTGGGGAGCACATCCCCTCGGTGGCCGAGGCCTCCCAATGCTCAGCTCCGTGGGCCATGGCCAGCTTGTGGGCTGCAGCCAGGGAGACCCAGCCTGCCTCTGGAGAGGCTCCGGTGGGCTGGCATCGGAACGCTGGCAGGGGCTCCCGTGACGACCGGGCTGGGCCAGAAGGGCCTGGAACCGAGGGGCCCAGCCCAGGCGGGCCATGGAACAGCCACCCTGGGGTCCTGCTGGGCCTCTCGGCACGGAGCCCGGTGGCTGGATCAGGCCACGGGCGCCCGGAGTGAGTCTCTGGCTGCCAGGAGCATCAGGAGGGAGGCCTTAAGCCTCCCCCCCCACAAGGGAGCCCCCCCTGACCTCCCACCTCATGTCTAGGGAGAGTCTCAGCCCCCCAGGCCTCAGGGCTGTCCCCAGGGAGGTTCCCCCAAAAGGCAACTGGACTCTCTTGGGGGTTTTTTTCCCCTTGAAAACGTTTCGCTTCTCATCCAGGAAGCTTCTTCAGTTTTGTTCAGTTTTCTTCGTTTCTCTTCCCAGGTGACAGAAGAAGCTTTTTCGATGAGAAGCCAAATGTTTTCAAGGGAAAAAACTTAAGAAAAGCCAGTTGCCTTTTGGAAAAAGCTCCTTTGGGATTCCCACATTGTGCCGAGACTCACTTAATGGGCAGAGCGCTTGGTTGGCCTGGCTCAGGGGTAGGCAACCTTGGCTCTTTTATGACTCGTGGACTTCAACTCCCAGAATTCCTCAACCAGCACAGCTGGCTGAGGAATTCTGGGAGTTGAAGTCCACGAGTCATAAAAGAGCCAAGGTTGCCTACCCATGGCCTGGCTTCTCAGCTGCTTGGGGGACACTTTGGGCTAGGAAAACCAGGCCTGGCTGGAGGAACGCAGCCCTTTCCCGCCCCACACCAGCCCCCGTGAGCAGCTCCTCTGCTGTGTGAATAAAGCTGGGATTCAAAACCACCTCATGCTCTGTCACTCCAGCTGCAAAAGGGGCCACACATTTAATTTAATAATAATATTATTATTAATAATAATAATAATAATAATAATAATGGAGTGGAGGGAGTGGAGGGGGAGGTGGTTAGGGGGTCAAGAGAGGGTGGGACGATTAGTACGGTCAGTGGGAGGGGCAGATACGGCGGGAGCAGAGGACCATATCGGGTTTGGGGAGCACGCACACGCTGCTTACAAGCGTGTGGGCGCTCCGGTCCTCAGGGCTCTACTCGGTCTCCAGGGAACTTAGATCCCCAGGCCCGGGAT